TTTTGGACATTAAATATTCTGCTGGTGGCTTTAGCTCTTGAAGAGAGAAGATTCCATGAATGGGCAGGGGGATAGGTGACTTTAAACATTTTTTTTTTTTGATAGTAAGAGCCAGTATCATACAAACTTGTGCAATCTCCATGAGCCTATGAGATCTTTGTGTTGCTCCACATCAGCCAGATACAACCTTGCACAGGGGGAAATGACAATTTGAACCTGACTGGTGGCTGACTGGCTGTAAGCCAATGTACATAGTTTTTATTGTAGAGAATTTAGTTCCTTATTTCACAATGATGTCACTGAATCTTGGCAAAGGGATAGACTCCATTATTCTCATGACTGGTTTAGCAACAGATCTAACTGCCCCTAATATAAGCTGTTCACAGGTATGCTCTGTAGCCCTACTGCCCAATCAGGCTGGATTATAGTTGTTAAATAGTTTGGTTTATTTGTCACACTATTTTACTTTTTTTCTGTGGTGTCCACCCCCTTTTAGCTTTTGCCTTTTTTTTTTATAACCTCTCATCTTTAAAAATAGATCTTGACAGAGCAGTATTAAATGTGGCACAATTAATATTTTAAGGGGCTACGTGGATGTGCATTGCTTCTCCTATAGTATGTCTGCAGTCTCTGACCATCTCTTGTAGTATGCTTGGACCATGTCTTGTATCATGCTTGTAGACTCTGACCATCTATTGTATCATGCTTGCAGGCTGACAACTTCCTTATGTGCAGCCCTTTTTGTGATCTCAGGGACTGCACTTGCGACACGCCCGTTAAAAGACGCCTGTCTTAAAAAGACAAAAAAACTATAACATTTCCAAGTTGATTATATGTATGTGTACCGATATTTTTTTCCGGTACTTGCCAATACTGAATACAGGCACCGAAAGTCCCTTTTAAGGAAGCCACCTGGCTTCCTGATTAGCCGGGAAGCCGTGCAGAATGTAATGACTTGCCCCATGGCTTCCTGATTAGCAGGGAAGCTAGCTCCATGCTCCCTCGTCACCAGGTGACGAAGCATGGAGCCGGCATTCTGGCCAATCAGGAAGCTGAGGGGCGGGTAATGACTCGCTGCCCAGCTTCCTGATTGGTCAGGAAGCTGGCCAATCAGGAAGCCGGCCGGCAAGTCATTACCCGCCCCCCAGCTTCCTGATTATCCAGGAAGCCATCTCCATGCTCCCACGTCATCAAGTGACTTCCTGATACCGGGAGAAGCATTGGGAGTATTTGGGTGAGTATGAGTACTCGCCCAAATACTCAGTATCAGCACCGATACAGATACTAGTATCAGTGCATCTCTACTTCCTTTTCTTAAATTACTTTGTTAGGTACCTGAACACCAATCATTTTATCTCCCCCAATCATCTCAGGCTGACCGGCGTTTCCATACATGGGGGTTACTGAGCAGGACGTCCACTGGTCATGGGAAAAAAAAAATCTGACTTTGGGGGGGAAAAAAATCTGACTTGATACTTTCAATTTAAACACCTTTTAGCTGTGATAAGCTTCAGCAACCTGTAATACCTTTTTTTTAATAGTCGTATCCATTGACAAAAATTCAATTGCTGCAGCATTTCAAAAACAGAGGCTCATTTTCCTATCATGATTTAATCTGTACTCCCATTTGTCCTGTATGCAGTTTTATACCTTTTTAAGATTTAAAAAAAAAGTGTCTCATTTAAAGAGTCCATAATGGCCGGCTATTCTAATTATGACTGGTTGGAGTTCAGCTTAAAGGACAGTCAAGTACACCTATCATAAGAGAGAGGCTGCCATTGACAACCACCTTATGAAAATGCTTGTTGCCTGGTTGTTATGAGGACCCTTTGGCTACAATACTCAATGACCTGGAAGGAGGAGGCAAAGCAACAAAGCCAGAACTCTGCATCTGCAGGCCTGTTCAGGTAAAGGCACTGGATTACATAATAGCATTTTCAGGTCAAAAACAATACTCCCTAAGCTGTAATGAACGTTTTGTGTATGAAGTGCCCTCCCTTGATTCTATTCCTGCAGGAAGGAAGACACCTTTGCGTGCCTACAGACATAGGATCAATTTCACCAGTTCTGACAGGGAAAATGCCTGCATGTCTGTAGGCATCCCCTGTGCCGGTGATCTGTCGATATTAAAAACGTATCGAGTTGTGGGACCGCATGACTTCCGGTTTCCTTAGAACTACGAGTTTTGGGGAAGAAATTTGTTGTGCACGAGCGCCATCCGCGGCATTGCCCTATACACATGCACCAAAGCAATAAAATGAAGTGGGATCACAGTAATCAAGCACGTTATTTACCTCCGGTGCCCCACTCAATATGGCCGCCGCTTGAGTGGGGCACCGGAGATAAATAACGTGCTTGATTACTGTGATCCCACTTCATTTTATTACTTTATTGCTGTGGTGCATGTGTATAATGGCGCTCGTGCAGAAGAAGTTTTGTGTGCAAACCTCGTAGTTCTAAGGAAACCGGAAGTAATGCGGTCCCAGAACTCGATAAGTTCGATCTTTCGATCGATCACCGGCAAGACATACACTCTGGCCTAGCCTACTTACATAGTATTTGAGGTTGAATAAACCTCACAGGTCCATCAAATTCATCCTATTGCGTGTATGTATGTGATTCTGCATGTGTATGCGTGTGTACAAGTCCCTGTGTGATCTTGTTTTTAAGGGTACCTGTACCCCTGAATGTTACGGTCTCTGAGGAAGTTGTCCAAATGCTTTTCGAATGATTCAACACTCTCAGCTGATACCACTGCTTGTGGCAGTGAACTGAGAAGAATCCCCTACGCCCCTTGTGGTTAAATCTTTTCTCCACTAATTTTAGGTACTTGGTAAGATAGGTGATTGTATTCCTTTGTGATAGGCCAATAACAAGGATGTTTTGCATTACTTGGTTCCACCTTCCTCTTTAGGCCGAAAACCAACCCCTGTGGACACGTTTAAGAAAAGTGCTTTAGGAGGAATCTTCTTTGCTGTGTAGCGTGTTTTTTCTCTAAATAAAGCTGAGTGAGAGATTTCTCTTGCAGTGTGGGGAACGTTTACAGATCATATACATTACCATTTTGGGACGACACTCTAAAAGCAACCTGCCAGGACAGAAATATAGGATATACTGCGTCACCAGACGTCTGACCATTGCGGGGCTTTTTGACTGCTGGACCTCATCACAAGGTCGCATAAGCGGTAAGGCAGATGAAGGGCAGCGACTGTCCCCGACACTCCCGCTAGACTTGGACGCAGTAAATAAGCCCTGCACAGTTATAATTCACACTTGAATATTCAGTTGCTGCATGAGCCCCGTTTTGACAGGGTCCCTGCAAGAAATACCTTCACCAACTCAAAGCAACTACACCGATTTCAACTTTCAGGATATCAACCTGGTTGTATGTTATAGAGTGGCACAGGCTGCCCATATACCGTGACAACGCAAAAGGCTTTTCTGCCAAATTCTCCATTCCTGTAATGTTGGATGCATTTAATCACATGACCCAAGAGTACTCCCCGAAAGTATGTTAACATAGAAAACACGTCAAGTCAAACAAAGCCTTCCGCGCCAAGACACAAGGGAGGCTTATCTTTGGATTTTATTTAAAGCATCAGATTTCATTAAAAAAAAAAAAAAGAAATGTGTGTGCACACGTCGGTGTGTGACCATGTATCTATGCATACATATACACACACACACATGTATACATACACATACAAATGGTTAACTCTTTTTCCACTTTTTTTTCTCATTTTTTTTTTTTTCTTAACAGAACAGACCTCTGTCTACTGACATGAAACAGAGTCAACAGGTAACACTGGGGTCAGGGTAAGTGTGCAGAATACAAACACCAAACAACAGGGAATAATACACCTTTAGCAAACCCTCTTTCCCCATATCCCAACATCGGCTTTTGTTGAGAGAATAAGCTCCTCGGGGGCAGGGCATGTGCCTGTAACACGCTATGTACAGCACTGCTAAACGCAGGCTATGAAGAGCTATTTTGTCCCATTGGGAAATAAAAATGTCAATAAAATTAAGTAGCAGTGACAGATCCCTGCTGGTAAGAGCTAATTTGTCATTAAAAATATTTTAGTTAAAAACAAAAATAAAAAAAGGGGAGTTTTCTTTTGGTTAAAGAGCTAAGGGTTTACGGAGCTTGACAATGTTGTTGGATCAGCCACCTTGTGACCGAAAAAACAAATGGCTTGATGAGTAACATTGTTACTGAACAAAAAAAATAATAAAATAAAATAAATACATATATACACACATATATATTCCTATCCATATATATGTATATATAAAATTCCAAGACCAGAGTCAGAACACGGTGTGAACATTTGACCTGAGAATAACACAATAATTCCATTGGTTTTTTTTGTTTTTCTTAACAAAGCCTTCGCAGGGTAAGCAGAGAGGGCTGTCACTGCTGGGTGACCAAACTCCATAGAAGGGGACAAAATGGAGTTGGACCCAGTTCCCTGTGAAAGGGGCCCAATGTGACTTCTGAAATTGGTTTGTTATTTTATCTTTTTTTTATTATTTAAAATTCATATTTATTATTATTTTCATCATCGTCCATCTCCGAAGTCTACAATCGTAAAGAACCCACTCCCACAGCAGTTCGAGAGCCATCCTCGTGGCAGCTTGGGTTCTCAGGAGCGCCTAGTGGACTTCCCGCCCGGTCAGACTTTTGGCTGAGGTCAGAGTCAGACTCCTCAGAGAAACCGTCTGTTGGAAAGGAGGTTGCAACCCCTGAGGTGCTGCACGGACTTGAGGTAACTGTTGAAGATGAGGAGAGTGCGGGGAGAGGCGGAGGTTTTCTGGGCGATCTGTGAGACCAGGACTTGGTGGTGGCGTGGGGAGAAGCAGAGGGGGAAGGGGGTGAGAGGCTGGCTTTGGAGTCAGCAGCAGACTGAGAGGTAGATGCGGTGTCAGGATTGGGGAAGCAGGCGGAGTGAGGTAATAAACTAGGGTGCTCTTTGGCGTTTCTTGCTGTTCTTTTGATTGTTCTGTGTTTGTGCAAGGGTGACTCCAGATGTTGACGCAGAGCATCGCCCCCACACAGCGTGGCCTCACACCCTAGACAGCGGAACGAACCGCTGCAGTCACCAGTGGGGACGCATGTCACCAGCTCTTGCAGGTTCACCACAGATTGGCCAAAGAAGCAGAGGGACTTCAGGTGGCTGATAGCTGCCTCCTCGCTGCTGAAGCTCAGCTCACACTTCCGGCAGACCAACTTGTACTGCACCTTTGGGACAATAAAGGGGTCCAAGAGACAATCCACACCTTGGCTTTCCACTTCTTGATGCTCTGGAGGCTTGTTGGAGTGCGATACCTCAAGGGCCACAGGATTCTGCTTCTCCAGCTTAGGAGAGTCTTTGGCAGGATCTTTGTCTGAAGGGGAAACAACAGAAGGAGTTGGGGTTTGGCTTGCTTTGGGCTGTTGCTGCTGCAGTCTCTGATGATGATGGTGTTGCTGCTGCTGTTTTTGCTGCATTTGGAGTTGCCGCTGCTGTTGCTGAAGCGCTTCCTGTAAGCTCTGCTGGTACTGCTGATACTGTTGAAGCAAAGAGCCTTGTGAAAGCCCCATCAAAGCTTGGGAGATGGCAGGGTTGTATGGGAACAGGCTTTCCATCCCATACATTGGCTGCAGGTAACCACCTGGTAAGGTTCCAGGGATCTGAGCGCCATAGTAGGGTGAGAAGCCAGGGACAAAGTATGGAAGAAACGGGCTGGTGAGCAGGGCAGATGGATCAGATGTCAAAGCTGCTTGTAAAGCCTGGAGCTGGGATGAGTCTACTATATACTCCATGCCTGGCATCAAGCTGGATGTTGATGCTGGGGTATCCCCTTTCTCTTTTTTGAGCACAGGTATTGAATCTCCCTTGCCTTTCCCCCTTTCCTTCTCTTTCAACTTCTCACTCTCTTTTTCCTTCAGCAACTCTTGAGACTGGGATGCAGGTAATGGGTGAGTCTGTGATGGAATGGTAGGGCTTCGTGATTTGGACGGTTGCTTATTTGGTTGTCCAGAAGTGGGAAGGCCTGGGGAAGGAACGGTGTTGTTGGACACTCCCATCGCATTGGATTTTGGAGAACTTAAAGCTAAAAAAGAAACCACAAAGAAGAGAAGAATCACACAGATGAACTAGACTGAAGAAATAGCTTCAAGGTACAGGTAGATTTATTGTCCAATAAACAAAAATACCACACACATCCAAACAAGAAACACTCTGGTTTTCAGTATATGAGATTCCTTTCTGCCTTAACTTTGGTAAATGAAAGTTCTAAGCAAGTCAGTGTTAACTGGAAGAACATTTTACTGTGTCTTATATGTGTCTAGCTGGCTTCAAAATGTTGGAACAAAGTAGACTTGGGAATAAAACGCCATTTGTAAACTGGACCCATGAGGTTTCATCTTTTATTCTATGGGGAAAGTCAATCAAGCTTGGTTCTCCACTTTTTCTCCTGTCATTTGTAAATATCCTCCTATCTTTAAGGGATAAAGATTTCTATGCGGGCTGCTATGAGCTATATGATAAGTAATGTCTACACTGGAGTTATTGAACATTTGTAATATTTATAATAATATTTCTCAGCAAGATGGAATGGTTAAAAGGCCTGAATATATATACATATATATTTATGCTGTGATGAAGCATTCAATACAATAATATTCTGCTGCAATTGTATTCCATTACAGGTAATAGACCCTACCTGTGCTTGGTTCTTCTGATGATAAACTGCATATAAAAAAGTATTTACAAGCAGTCAACTGACTTTGCATCCACTGGATTATTCACTAAGGAGTCTGATGCAAGAAGATCAGGTATAGCCCCCAGTTGGTATTACTATTGATATTCTAGTAGACACGATACATTTTTGAACGAGTCACCTTCACCTTGACGGCAGCTGTTTTGTGCCCTAAACCAATATTTATTTGTCCTATTTATTCAGCAGGAACAATGTTTCATGTCACTTTTTTTTAAACAAAATATAGTTTTTCAGTACAGTACACTTAAGTAGAAGGTACCAACGCAAGAACATAACAAACAGAATGATCTTAGTGGACAACGATAACGGCACTGTGGGTGTACAGAGGCCACAGTAAGTCACCATCATTTTATTAAAGTGTATGTCCAGCCAAACAAATTTTCTTAGTTTTGGATAGAGTGAGTGAGAACCCCTATCAGATTTTACCTCCATCTGAGGCTTCATTAAAGAGATTTCCCTTCACTTCCTGTGCTGCTGTCAACATTTTAACAAACAGGAATGAGAGTGACTATCCAACAGTAACACAGAAATAAGGTTTTCTTTCATAGCGTAACGGAAGGCTGGAACCTCTGTCACATTATTATTTTTTTCCCTACTGTGGCAGGATACACTCACATCCTTTCTGGTGAAACGACGGAAATGATTCTCTAGCAGTTACCAATGGGGCAACGGAATATTATGTACAACATATCATGGGTTATTTTAGAATATGTCTGCTTTGGTTTGATAGAGATTGCACTCTAATGTTATACATATCATTACAAACTCTGACTGAATTATGGTTAATTCAATCAGTCTTCAAAGTCCGGATCATTACTCCTGAGGGCCCAGGCCTGAATAGTGTCTGTGAAGTGTAAATGATGACTGTGTAGTGATTCACATAGCAAATGTGTTGCTATCTAGTGTGGAGTTCCGTATCTGATCATGTTTCCTTTCTCTACAAGAGTTCTGGGTCATTCATGCAATTGTTATGAGTCTCTTTAATACTAACAACATACTTCCTTAAATCTGTATCCATGCAATCCTTAATATTCCTCTGCCAAGAAGCATATGCGGACCTTTTGTTCACTCCCCCACCACTCCATTCAGCCACAAGGAAAGAAAACTATGTGCGAGTTCTACGTTGCTCTAGTTCAGGAGCAGGCAAACGTTGGCTCCCCAGTTGTGGGGAAACTTCAAATCCCATCATCAGAGTGTTGAAATACCTTATGGGAGGGCCAGAGTTTGCATACCCCTGCTCTAGTTGAAGCATACATAGGGCTAAAGTGGAGGGCCAGAGTTTGCATACCCCTGCTCTAGTTGAAGTATACATAGGGCTAAAGTGGAGGGCCAGAGTTTGCATACCCCTGCTCTAGTTGAAGCATACATAGGGCTAAAGCCAGTTTCCCCACCAACATGTGAACGTGCTGTGCCAATCACCTGCTGTCACATGCTCATTAATATTCCATAGTAGGGGGGTATTTTCTTCACTTCCTAGCAGCTGGATAGTGGAAGGGAGTGTATGTGTTGCTGGGACGAAGGTGAATTTGAGTGAACTTGTTGCTCTGCCATGCAACAAGTTTTAAGTACTCCTCTGAGCTGTCTCCGCTTACAGCTATTTGCTATATTTGGGGTGGCTCAGCTCATTATACTTTAACTATTACTGACATTTTTTGAGGGGGATGTGTCCTTTTAAAGATGACCGAATGTGTAGAAATGTCACCAGCACACCAACGGTTCAATTAAATAAGCAATAGTCCATTTATTGCAGGAACATCGCCATTCAAAAACTAGCACTTTTGGGGCCACACAGGTTCCCCTTCATCAGACTCAATGTAATTCCGTCATTCTGAGCCTGATGAAGGGGACCCTGTGTGGCCCCGATAGTTTTTGAATGGCTGCAATAAATGGACTATTGCTTATTTAATTGAACCGTTGGTGTGTCGGTGACATTTCTACACATTCAGTTTCTGCACGGTGCCATCCGTGGTTACTGCAAGCACCCCCCTGTATATCAGGTATTTTTATGCGGTATGGGGTGCAACAAGATACTTGTTCAACTTTTAAAGATGACCTGTCCTAATTCTGGAAAATACTTTCAGACACTAGCGAGTCTAAGAGCCAGGTATTAACAGCAGTGATTCTAAAGATATAATTACTATAGTCAAAACTAACATTGTTTTTACAAGTCGTTCTTCTATCGTCTGCTATAAACACAATCTCACCACAGCCATTCATAAACACAATGATAAAATGAACAAAACCAACATGTAGACTCATTTATCTACATCTATCAAAGTGATTCAGTGAAATTTATTTATTATCAGACCTTCCTTAAGCAGTAAGGATTTTCCAGATAATAAAGTCCACATATAACATAGTTGACTAATATTTTGATAAGATAAAGGCTTACACATAAGTTGGACCTGCCTTGCCTTTGGGTAATTATACTTCTGAGGGTGGTGCTTTTTATTTTAAATACAGAACTTATTGCTTTGGCTTGGTATTGTCCTAAGAAAAATGTGATTGGCTTGGCGTTCTCCTAAGAATCAAAAGCACGCTGCAGAGACTAAAATGACTAAATTTCAATAAGTCACCTGATGTTATAAGGTGCTTACAATATTTATCATTTCAGGGACAAAAACAACACAGAAACCCTACAAATTCTCTTTAGATCAGCACTGGTTACCGGTGGAAGGGCTCTACCTGGCCAGTTCAATTTATGGGGGAGCAAGTTATTTGCTTGTGTTCTTAGTGATCCGATTATTAATATTGGAGCATGTGTCTGTGTCAACCAATTTGGTAGCTATAGCCAGTGCATTCTTTGGGGCTTGGTATGCAATTATGAAAGATTCTGCAAGAGTTTAATTTGTTTGGCAATTGTAATGTCTAATCTCTGAATTAGACATTGATAAGAGCTTTGGCTGGTAAATCAGATAGTAAATTTTAAACAAGTTTATATTTAAGAGATGACTAAATTAAAATCCATGTTATATAGGGTTTAAGTGTAGTTGAAGGGCCAACATGTCTCCCTTACCCTAACACCAGCACACTTTCACTACCAAGTGCTCTTATCTTGTGCCCACCTGTGTTAGAGGGAGTGAATCCTGGCAAAGATGGGCTGCTGAGACCTGGCAACAGTACTGGAGGGATGCCTTGGAGAGCTGGGTAGGGTGTTGGAAGATTGAGTGCTTGCAGGTGAGTGTTATCAAACACAGCCTGTTGCTGAGGGGTGAGACCCAAAACCTCATTGGCTTTTTTAATGCGATCCAACTCTTGCTGAGCCATTAGCTGACGAACAGTGGCTGGATCAAAGTATTCTTTCTCCTTGTCCAACTGGCTTCCTATAGCGTCCTTAACTTTGGAGATATGTTGCTGGGAGAAGATATGATCCCGCACAGACAGACGTGCGCTGTATTTCACGCCACACAAAGTGCACTCTGTTTTGGGTCCCTCATAATTGGTTTGGTTTATTCCGAAGTGCTTGGCCATGTTTAGTTTAGCCTTCTTGTCCTTTGCCCGGGCATTCTGAAACCAGACCTGTACAACTCTCTTTGGCAGTCCGATATCATTGCCCAAAACTTCACACTCCAGCATGGTGGGTGTTCTGTAATCATTAAAACAGGACTTAAGAAGTTTTAGTTGAAGGTTAGTCATTTGCGTTCGAAAACGCTTTTGACCAGGGCGGTCTCCGCTATCACCTGACTTGCCTGCTGAACCACTTGCACCTGGGCTAGGAGAGCAAGGGTCTGCAAGGCTGGAAGTTTCACTATAATCAACAATGCCCTCATTCTCATACTCTTTGCTGTAAAAGCTGGGGGCAGGGCTGACTAAACCAGAAGACATTTGGTCCTCATACTCAGACATTGCCATAATGGCAGACTTTGGCAAGCCTTCACTGGTTATAGATGCAGATTTTGTTTCAGCAAGAATACCTGTGGTGCTGTCATTGTCTGCATTTCCTTCATCTCCTGTTGTTGTATCTGTTATAGCAGTATTCACAGAGGAGCAGTCATCATTGTCCAACTTAGCTTGATCAAAGCTTAAATTAACAGATGACATCGAGGGGCTTTCAAAATCTTCTGACCCTTCAATTTTAATAGAAGATGGGCTGAGCAGTGTTCGAGGCGAAAGATCCATAGATTTGCTCACTGGAGACAAGGAAATGCACTGTCCGTCACTGCTGCTCTGGGGTAGATTATGATAGGAAGTATTGTCAAAAAGATCTCCTTTCAGCTGCAAACCACCATCACAGTCAACAAGCATTGTAGATAAACCCATGGTATAGCCAGCTCTCTTTGCTTCATGCCAATGGCGAGATCGTATGTGAGCTTCTAAAGCAGTTTTTGCCTTAAACAAAGCTCTGCAAAATGGGCAACGCCTATGAGCTTGGGCTGGGCCAACCGCTCGAAACTGTCCCTTTCTTTCCCTTGCCCGAGTATTCTGAAACCAAACTTGAACCACACGCTTCTTTAAACCCACTTCATGGGCAATATGATCCAGCATTTTACGTGTTGGGTTAGAATCCAGCAGATATTTCTGGTATAATATTTCCAGCTGTTCTGGTGTAATTGTGGTTCGCAGGCGCTTGTCTCTATGAGGTTCTTCACCACCAGTGCCACTATCGTTTTCTCCTGGACTTGTGCTTGCTTTTTCTTCAAGCTTTCGTTTGAGGGTATTCATTGTGGATGATGGTGCTGAAGGAGAAGTAGCTGAGCCAGTTGGCATTTGAGAAAGTCCTCCAGAAAGCAGCTGGCTTGCTAGTAAAGGATTACTGGGATCAAATAGCATAAAGGGCATATCCATTGGTCTGTCTAAAAACTGAGGATGGATGAACTGGTTTTGAGCACTAAGAAAATGCAACTGTTGGTGTTCCTGCCAGTGTTCAAAAGATGGGAAGGCCAATTTGCATTGATCGCACTGGTAGGGAATTAGCTGAGGAGGCAAATTGGCTAACTGCTGTGGAGTTGATGAATGTAGCGGTTTCATAGAGTGGTGTGAGATTTGAGCTGCATTGGGACTTGACTGTGTCAAAGAGCAGTGGGAGGATTGTGTGGATGGAGATGAAAGGGATGAATGTTTCTGCGGTGTTGCAGTAGTAACTTTTTGTTCCAATTGGTCCTGTGGTGGAGGTTGAGATTGTGGGGTTGGAGGCTGCTGTGGCTCTTGCTTTGGTTGCAGTGGCTGCTCTTGCGTTTGGTTTTGCTGTGTCCTTGGAATTTCATAAAGCTTTGGTTTATCATCATTGCTAGCCTCTAGCTTGGAACTAAACATGATTGCATCCTCCATATCCATCATCTGCTGAGAAAAAGGGGTGCCAGCTGCATTTGTGGATCCTGTGGCTGCAGTACTGTAGGACTGAAAGGGCATAGGGGTGCTACATGAGGAACTTGAAGGTGTGAGCATATCCATGGCATCCATAGAGTCTTCATTTTGGCTGTCATCATGCATATCTTCATCCTCATCTTTGTAACATAGCTTTTTCTGATGTTTTATAAGGTCAAAGATTCTTTGAAAAACTAAACTACACTTTTTGCACTGGTAGTTTAGGTTGCTAGTACGAATATACCGGTCATTTGACAATTCACGCCTCTCACCTTCCTTGCCATCTCCTTGATTTTCATAATTCTTTCTCGCCTTCTGCCGTGCATTCTGGAACCAGACGACAATAACACGCGTGGGAAGGTTTAGCAGGTTGGAAAGTTGCTCAAATTCATCATCCTTTGGATAAGCATTGGCATCAAAAAAGTCTTGAAGAACACGGAGTTGGTAGTCTGTAAACCGTGTCCTGGAAGACCTCTTACTTCCCCAGTATTCATGCCTTTGAGGTTCCGGTGATGGAGGTCTAGAGTCAATCTTTAATTCTTCCAAACTAGTAATGGGTGGGTTATTAAAATTGTAAGGAGAGTCTTTGTTTCGTTGACGCTCCTTGAAGAGGGTGTTTCTAAACCAGTGCTTGATAACTTTTTGGGGTAATCCAGACTTATCAGACATTTCTTTGATCTGTTCTTCACTCGGGGAATTGTTGATGTCAAAATACTGTCGTAACACTCTTAGCTGGTCATCAGTGATCCTGGTACGTGGTCGTTTGTTCTGCTGTTGTAGGAGATTGGGATTTAGTTGATGCTGATACAGTTGGGCCAAGTCTGCAGAAAGAGTTTCTACTGAGGTCAACTGAGGTGGCAGCTGAGCTGGCATAGTTTGCAATGACATAGATTGCATCATAAGGGGTGGAAAAATAGGCAGCTCCATTGGCATTGAAAGCTGAGCCAGAGACACTGATGACTGTGCAGGTGAAATGCTGGGTGGGGTAAGTGGAGGAGCAGTTGTAGGAACAGTTGGAGTGATAGCTGGCTGGGGGGTTGCTGGTGGAGGGGGTGGCGGAGGAGGTGGGGGTTGGAGGGGCAGTTTGAGGAACAGTGGGAGGGATAGCTGGCGGGGGGGTTGCGGGTGGAGGGGGTGGCGGAGGAGGTGGGGGTGGCGGAGGAGGAGGCGCCTCTGGTGTTTGGGGTCTCAAAGGATATTGTTTATCATATTGGTCTCTGTATTGTTTTGAAAACTGCTCAAGTTGCTTAAATGGCAAATAGCGTTGGTGGACGTGTTCCTGGTGGCTTTTTAAGATAAGAATGTTGGAAAAAAACTTCCCACATGAATTGCATTCTAACTTCTCCAAGCTATCAGCCTGTTCGTTTTTTCCAGTTTTCTTCTGCACTTTCTGCTTGTTTTCATTATATTGAATAACAAGTTCAAACCCAAAATTCTCAAGCAAGGCTTTGGTGGCATTACCTCGAGCATCTGATGCAATACGAGGTGGAAGCAGATGACCGTCGGAGCTGGAACTGGATGAAGGCTCTTTCTTATCTTTACACTTCTGACCATCAGGTACCGACTCATTTACCAGTGTAGTCTCATCTGTTCTTTCATAAAACTCCTTTTCTTTCTTTACTTCCTTGGCATTTTCCTTTGCTGCTTTGTTCTTGTGTTCTGGAGGATGCAGGAGAGTGGAATGCGGGTCTGACATGCACATCTGGCTTGATTGTTGTTGCAGGAGATGTTGGTGATGAGAATGTGCCTGTTGGGAAAGTTGTAGTGGAGACTTTAGGTCTTCCAGTAAACTAGGGCCACTTCCTGTTAATGTAAGCGTACCACTGGTCAAGGGCAAACTAACCTCTGGATTGAACTGAAAGTCTGTACTAGGGATATAGAAGGGAAACAGGAGGTGTTGCTGCTGTTGGAGCTGGAGTAATGTCTCTGTGGTCATTGGAAAGTGGGGAAGCAGAGTGGGGTTTAATAGCTGAGACTGCAGAATAGCTGCTTGTTGTTGGAGCTCTTGCTGAAAATGGGCTTGTACTTGTGCCTGAGCCTGGGCCAGTGTTTGGGCTTGCTGCTGTTGATGATGATGAATCTGCTGCTGCTGTTGATGCTGCTGCTGCTGCTGCTGCTGCTGCTGTTGTTGTTGTTGATGATGATGATGCTGCTGTCGTGAAGCTATCATGTCTGCCAGTTTCTTACGATTCACCTCTTTATGCTCAGGTGGGCAGGGGACACTAGAAGTGATCTGGTTGCTTGTGCCAGTATTGACTGCAGGTTCAATGGGCATTTGGTTCACGAAACTGCAGTTCATGGTGGCAGTTGCTGTGGTTGTGCAGCTTGATGTGGTGGAAACACTGCAGGTGGGGTTGGATGTAGTCGTGGATGTTGCAGATGGGCAAGTACTACTGGAGCTAACTGCACTGCTGCTGCCACCTGCTGCTTCCAGCTTTGCTGCACGAGCCTTGGTTTGATGTAAAACAGATCTCATGTGGATTTCTAAAGTGGAACTCTGGCTATACGCAACATTGCAAGTGTTACACTTGAATGGTTTATTATCTGGACTGCTGGTGGGTTCAGGTTGTCCAGTTGTCGTGTCTTGTAAGGCCCTTTTAAGTTTGTGAAGATGAGACACAGAATTGTAATGCACAAGCAGAATGTTCTTCTGAGTGAATGACTCTTTGCATACTGTGCATTTGTAAGGTCGGGAGGGGTCCAAAAACTTTTCCATGGTAAAATTTGGGCCCTTGCGGAAAGGAAGAGCTCGCTTGGGTTCAGAACCAGAGTCTTCTTGTACAGAACCAGAATCGCTTCCTGTGGGACTCTGCTTTTCCTCCAGGTCACTCTCATCCTCTTTGTCATCATCTACCAGCATGCTCTGGTCATCGGTCATTGCAGTCTCTCCCATGTTTGTCATGTCTCCATTGACCAGAAGGCCGCTGTACAGCTGCTGGATGTCAGACTCGCTCAACTCTAAATGGCTGGTCTCCAGATGCTTCTTAAGGGCTTGGAATGTGCGGAAGCTCCTCTGGCAAAGACAGCACATGGTGGCAGCACGGATCACATGATACTGTGAATGGAGCTGAAGTTTCTCGATGGTTTTGAAAGCTAAGCTGCACTGGTTGCAGCGATACTTGTAAACATGGCGGTCAGAAACTGGCAACTGGGGGCGCTTGTTGTGAATCTCATTGAAGTGTGTTTGTAGAGCAGCTGAGGTCTTGAACACTTGGTTGCATCCTTTCTTCCAGCACAAGAATCCAGAATCTTCTCTTGTAGAAGAATTGTCACTGGTGGGTGCTCTGTGTTCTGTAGTCAGCTCAGTCATTTCAGGAACAGACGCACTCTTAGACACTGTTTCAGTGGGTTCTATGGAGAAAAAAAACCACACTGTTATAATACAGGCCTGCAATGGGTACCCTTTCCCAATGGCCCTTATTGAGACATTGGATTAAACAGTTGTTGTTTTTTCTGCGGTTTGCCATTGACCAAAATGGTGGATGGAACTTTTAAGTCCCCCATAGGGGTTCATTCAGGCAACGTAATGCGTTATGATGTGTTAAGTCGCAATGGGTTAAAGAGGCGCTTTAATGCACTATAAAAAAACAGACCTGACTCTTTCAATGTAGCACACTACACAGTATGTGCATTGCCCACTACTGTAATAGTGCTTTGGGGTGCCATTCAAAATGAAGTGTAAGTGAACATAAGCTGTTAACTTACATAGTTGGGTTGAAAAAAGACACAAGTCCATCGAATTCAACCTATTAACTGTCCTAATGCTTTATAATGACCCCAGATACATTCTTTATTTGGATTAATGAGTATCTCATGCTTTTAAAGCAAACAAGTACTGAACTGGCAGTAGGAGACCAATGCAAACCCGGAGATTCCTGCGCCTACACAAAATCATCATGGGTGCTACAGGAGCCCTGGGGCACTCAAATAGGAAAAAAAAGTGACTTTAGGTCCTGCAGCCCCACCATCTCCCCAGTCTCATTCATCAAGAGTGAGGTGGGAGAGGAACACTGAGAATTGAAAATCGCTCTTTATTGGTTTTGGGTCTTCTGCAGCACTCAAAGATATCAGAAGGTATGTGCAGGAACCTATAGGTGCCTTCCCTGCACCCCTACAACCAGTTCTGTGGATGAAGCATAGGTAAAGTGCCTCAATAAGGGAATGTTCTTGTTTTCCCTATCATGCTTGTGATACAATGTGGCAGAATACAGTGAAGGAACTTGCTGTCAAGTATGAGGCCCATTGAAGCCTCTGGAACACAGAATGAGTACTGTTTACCACATGAGACCATATATGTGCATGTAAAGAGCACCTGTACCTAGTGAAAGAAAGACACTTTCGTGTAAGATGCATTTCCTACCTGAAGCCTTCTCAACAGCTTCTGGGGCTGACACAGGTTTTTCTCGCTCTGGTGAGCTCACGGGAAGAAACATGCTGCTCGGCATGAGCGTCTCTGGAGAAGTTACCTGCAGAAAGAGGAACAAGAGGATTTTAAGAAGTATCTCAGCCACCATCTCTCTGTCTCACCCTACAGATCACTGAGAGTGTCCACAGCTGCTCAACAACCTCCTCATCACTCAGGAGGTGGCCTTCTCTAATTATCAGTACACGCTAAAAGAATAATCTTCTAATTAATATTTTTTTTTCTCTTTCTACAGAATTCTGACTTTGATCACAAAGAGTGTTTTGTCACAGGCTGTGGGGCAGCCAATTACAGGGATGCGCTGTGAGCACCCCCCCACCACCCCTTCCTTCTTAATCTACCAAGCACATATTAACACCCCTAATTAATTCAGACTGCTAAAGAGGGATGAGTGGGCCATGTTCCTGAGTGAAAGCAGAAGCCTGTGAGTACTTCTTTTTTTTTTTTTTAAACCAAGAGACAAAGGGATGTGCCTGGGGGAAGGGGACATTGTAGAAGAAGTCATTTAGATGTGGAAGTTATGCTAAAGAAGACACAGTTACTGGGACACACACACACAAAAAGGTGTTACTAAAATAATGGGATGGATGGGCTATGAAACCACATGGGGAGAAAAAAGTACTCTGAAGCATGTATGTATGTATGTATGTATGTATGTATGTATGTATGGGAAGCCCGATCAAGAGGGAGACTACTTGAATGCTGCAAGAGTGGCTTTTGGGCGGGAGCACGCAATCATTTTTTTAGTTGATCGATCATGCTACTCAAGATTGCTAATGACCAATGGATGGTACATAGGTACTTGAGCTTGTATAACAGCAAGGTGTACAACAAGCAATTGCAATGCTTTTGGTAGGTTGAACATAGAACTAAGGGCCCATTCACACTATCGTGTTATGGTAAATGTGCAGCAACACTCTGCACACGGCATGGTGCATTGCCGTTCTATTAGTTTTGTATGGTACTTTGGCAGCGCAAGGCACTTAAGTCAAAGTGCATTGCAATGGTGTTGTGTTGCATTTAAAAAAAATTTTTTAGTGCAGATGTGAACAAGACCTAACAGCAGCAGCAGCAGCAACTGATCGCTACACAAATGTAGCTTACACCATCGGGAGCCATTTGTTAAATGTGTGTGTAGTGCTCAATTTCTAGTGATTGTGGCGGAGTTATTTCTGCCCCAAATAAAGACATTTTGTAATTTTTGTTTGTTTATAACTCCTCCCTACAGCTCTGCAAACCAATGACAGCACAGTTACTGGCAGCTGAAATGCTGGCATTGGTGGACCACCATTGTCTGCGCTCCAAATCAAGATCTCTAGAGGGAGTGTGTTCCCAGGAGTGGCGGGAGGAATGTAAAAGGTACTTGCAGCTAACATGCATTACCCACATTTAAAGGATGCATGTCATGAGAGAAATAACTGCTGCCGCTGCAGATTTTATATTGAACATGCTAGTGTCCTGGTTGTGTCCTGCTCCCATACGTCTGAGACACTGATCCAACAAGTATGCAGCAAATGGAAGTTGACAAAAACTCAGAACTCCTCATCTTCTATAGTTGTGGGTCAGTGCCTTGCAACACATGAAAGACACATCACAGGAAAGCCAGTCTAGTATTTTGACTAGACAAAACACAAAAATTCCCCAGCCTCAACCTGCCAGCCAGCCTGCAACCAAACAAGTAGCCCTGTCAACAGTATGCGTTAAAATCAGAGGTTTAGTTGCACAAACTTTTGGCCAAAAATATGTAGAAGCCACACTGCCGCGCCAAGGCACCTCTGCAAAGTGTGGTCCTAACTCTATGTATCCGAGTCTCCAAGTGTGAGCATAATAATGAAGTTGATAAATTACATGCAGGTGTACCTGGAGGTGGCCTACTCCTCCTAATAAGGTGCAGGCACGCACTGGAGGCCCAGCAACCAAAAATGCACATTGGGAAGGCTTTTCTAGTATTTTGACTAGGACAGCCGGCAATGGCGGCCCGCATTATCTTCTCAGGTGCACCTTCAGCAGCAGAGTTTGACCAGCAATGAGAACCCAGAAATATTTGCTTCAAGATGGACCCATAAGTCCATTACACACAAAATGTCTGACCTAAAGATGTCATATGATTTTTTTAAAATTTTTTAAGTACTCGTGGGCAAGACAAAATCTAAATTTGGTGAAGTCTGTCACTTTTAAGTACAGCAATTTTTGTTTTTCAGTAGTCAACCCCCCCCGCCCCACCACCACCCAGTTACATAGTTTTACTGCCTATTGATCCACTAGTCTTCCCCACGTCCTGTAATAGAGTAACAACACTGTTCATTCTAAAAGTGAAATTGTGAAGCAACAAGGTCCCAGTTTCCAGCAATGTGTATTTGCTTAACAGAGATGTAATGACTGAATGTTTATCAAACTGCCTTTAATTTATAAAATACTAAATGTTTCCATCCTTTGTTCAGTCTTAGTGCTGCTGACTGATCACATGCAGCCACTTCCTGTCTAGATTCACTTCTGCAAGGACTACATGCCATTTCTAAGCACAGGTTCCCAAATGGAAACTCAATCTCTATCGGAAGCCATTGCCACAGAGAGTGACAATGCCGGAGCACAATTAGGAGACAGGGAGAGTGTGTTGTCACCTTAACAGGAAGTGCTTAAACAAAGACCTTGATGGTAGGATCGCCAGGTATTATTTTAATGAAAGTTGCAGATTTAAAAACACTGACAATTACGTTTGAAACATTGAAATGTTAAAGCTGATATGAGACTTTAATGACTAGGTTTACATCTAATTTACTGATTATAGAAGCTATATTAAATGTGATTCCCCCCACCCTAAATGATGTTTGGCAGTATTATGAAAAGCATCTATTGCTGTATTTAATTAATATTACATGTACATTTGTAACCCGTGTTTTGTGCAATGACATAATCAAACAAGGGGGAAACAAAGGCTTCGTGTCTGATCTTCTTCAGTGCGAGGACATTACAGAAAGAGACAGACACGATCACAAGCATGGATGCACTCTCATTTAAAGGCAAGGGGAGGGAATACGTCTCTGCTAAATCCCCGCAACCCGGCGAGAGCAAAGCTCTGCGCGGAGTCTCCGAGAATTCCAAGCTCCACAAGACAGCTCTATAATTGTTTTCATACACTTTAATTAGAAAAGCTCGCCTGGCCTTGAATAATAAGAGAAAGACTTCTGTACTTGAAAGGTTGAAGTCAATCAAGTGTGAATGACGGCAGACGAGGAGGTGAGCCGGAGACGTTGTCTACTCTCCACTTTAATCATCTCTCCTGATTGGAATTCTGGCAGGTTTTGAGAGGTCTAATGTGTCTGCTACCTTTTCTGTGCCTCGCCTCTTAAAATGCCTCCCGCATCAAATTTCCAGTGATATTACACAACCCAGCAAACAATGGCGCTAATATCCAATCTCCATGTAGGGAACCGACCCTTAAAGTGCACTAACAAAGAAAACGCACACCTGGAAAGAAGATGGAGGTGTGTGAAAAATCTGTCAAACTGTACTTTGCTTTACAGGTGGACAAGCCCTCAGCCCACAAGTGCATATACTGTATATTTGTATAACATGGGAAACCTTCAGCCACCAATCTCTGCTATATAGCTACTGTGCAAAAATGTCAACCCTGCTGAAGATTTTGATAGACAACCCCCCAATCCCACCTACTTTACAGGATACACTGCTAATATTTTTGGGTACATCAATGTAAATTTTGGAGTCAGCCATCACAGTATAAATACACTTTAGTTGACTCCCGATACTTATCTTATTCTCTTTGCTGCTATTTCTATCAATTCACTGGTTGACAAAAAAAACTTGCCCTTGGGAAATCCTTAACCAAGCTTTTTTTTTAAGCTGGCCACACACACACACACACACACACACACACACACCTATAGATTATGGTCAGATGGAAAAAGTGCAACAGATTCCTCCATCTACTCTAAACTGTGTAGATGGAGGCATCTCGCCCTGGGCCAAGCTTCAGTAATCTTGCTAGTCGGCCCTGCTGGCTCTCAATACCTGAACAATGCCAGAATCCTATCAGATTGTTCGTGTTTTGAGAGCCAGCAAGGCCGACTAGCAAGATACCATCCACACAGTGTAGCGTAGATGGAGGAATCTGTTGCACTTTTTTCATCTGACCATAGAAAATCTGCAGATAATCTATAGGTGTATGGCCAGCTTTATACTAACTTTGGCCCATCTTTCACCCGTGAGGGGAGTATGACCTCACACTCTTTCTGGGGAGTATAGATCAGCCGAAATCTCACAAAAAAGATGATCCTGCAAAGCACTGCAGTGTCTTCTCACAGGATTTCACCTGCTCTGCATCCCCCACAACTCTTCCTGCAAGGACAGCGACATCGTGCCCAGAGATAAGGACGGTATGAAAAGTATAAATCTAACACTTTTATTGAAGGGTACATTCTCCACCTAACGGTAAGTGATTTATGTGAGGGGTCAGGGGGAATTTGAGCAGAGCTTGCATTTCACTGCAAAGTCCCCTTTTAATTATACCATTGAAAGTGTTCTTGCTATAGCTCTTTGATTGCAAAAAGATACCTGTTGAGCCTGCCAGAAATCCAGTGATGTCCTGTGACTCTTCAGTGCTACCTCAACATTTAGCAGCCTGTCCAGTTTTCCTCTGTGGACTACTGAATATCCATCTTCCACATATGCTATGGTGAGGTCATGTAATCCTAAAAAGTGGCCAACAATTTTCCACCCTGGCTACTTGGTCAAAAGTCTGTTTTTCAGGTGGTCCCAGCAGGGTCACCCCCATATATAGAATTTTAACCAATTCAGCAGGAAATGGACAACATTTGATCAGTGAATGACCAGCTCAATACTTCCTGTCCTAGAGTGACAACACTCCTCCTCCATACATCGGGTAAAGTGAGTGTGGTCACCCTAGAACAAAAAGGAAGTCACTGGCAGGATCACCAGGTGAAAATAAAGGGAACAAAATTCTAATGCAGCCATAAGATCTAAGGAATGGCAAGCTGCATACAATTATATTTTTGTTGTATGGTTTGGATACATTTTTAACCCACGTGTTCTCCTTACTAGTATAGCATGGCTTGTCTCCACTGTCAGAGAAGAAGATGGATCCTCAAGCACTGTACTGTGGAAATGTCAGAACTAAAAGACAGAAATGCAATGTGGCCTATAGCCAACCATAATGAGCATCACTGCACATGATCAGAGCCTGACAATGAAGTACAGTGGGTGGACAGATTAAAGGAAACATCACACATAAAAGTAGTTTAATTTTAAAAGAAGCTAAATTACAATTACAGAGCTGCAAAGATATCAATTAGCACTATGTGTCACTTATGTAAGAGCCACCCTATATACGATATAATAGGCAACATTTCATCACGGTGATAATTGACGTATACCTCTAAATGGCACGCTGGGTGGAGTGCGTTTCTTTTATGTAAAGACCAAATATGAATTTACTACAATCTGTTTAGTTAAAAAGGGAAGGGAAAAAAAAAAAAGATAGGTGTGTCACTGTGTCACTTGGTTAGGACAGTTTTTTTGGCAACAAGGTGTACCGAACAGAAATCCTGAGAGTCCAAGTAGTTGTTACCCGTTACGCAGACAGTTGAAAAGCGCAAAAAACAATTTAAACACTTAAAAGGGGAACATTTTTCAAAATTAAAAAAACGTCAACAGCAATAAAACAGATTGGTAACAAAGGTTTACAGGTGGGCACAGGCTGACAGGAAGGGTCCTAAATACTCCAAAGCTACTGAAATGCCCCAAATTGTGCCGGTCTTGACTTTGAAGGGGCGGGATAACGCCTTATTAGGCCAGTGGTTTGAACATTATTTATGACGTTTGCAAACTTGACTATTCAAAATGTTCCTTTACGGTTCATTCATAAATCGGCACCTTGTCCATTAACATTCATTTTAATAGCGCCCATTGTACTATTACAGCAGAGGGCAAAGAACCGGCACTGTAGCGTACCACAACGCACATGCGATTCACTGTGGTGTTCAAGGGTCAAACTTTTTTAGTTCAATGCAGTATGCTGCCAGGCTATTCAAAATGAACGGTCTGCCCTAACCTACAATAGCATGTTGTGTTAATGCAGCACATAGTCTGGACTCTTACAGCAGAACATCAGGGTTCCAATCAGTCCTATCTGCACAGTGTGACCGCTCCATACACAGGTATGTTGTTGTGCAATTTGTCTGTACTCTTCTGCATTGTGCGACAATCTCTCGCCCAGTATAGCCGCATAAGTGAGACCGCTGTGCTCCTCTACACGGACAGCACGCAGCGTAAATAATCACACTCGTCCTGCGTACGCACAGTATGGGTCCTGCACTACGCAGCTGCCTGGCCAAATATGTAAATGACATCATTAAGGAGCACACTGCACCGCTTGCTGCATCCACTGATCTCTGACACGCGGGTCAGCGATGCAACGTGTCAGCTGCCTCTCCTCTGGCTGCCCATCACACAGGATAATTACATGCTAATTGTGTGAGGAGGCCCAGCTGACAGTGCATGGCCACGTTTTCAGAGGCTGTTTACACCATGCTGAGGTCTGAGAGGTGGATGCAGGACTCGCTGGGCCTTTCCTATAACCCAACTACTTCTCAATGCATATTGCAAGGAGGAAAAAGGGAATAGAAGAATATAAAAGGGGAAGGTGGAGAAAGCTAAGGACACAGACAAAGGAAAGAGGTCAAGGGGGGGAAAAAAAACCTCCTGACTGTCAGCGAGGTCCAAGATGCAAATCCCACTCACAGACAGACTGCATATTTCCATTACAAAGAGCGCAAAAGGTTGGAGAGAGAAACTCGTTAGCAATGGGAGGATATTAAGGTCACTTTGAATTTACACCATCTAATTGGCAAACATGAGCCAAGCGCTTCCACTCAAAGTGCTGGCAATTGTGTGCAAACGACAGCGGGGACACGACACCAAAAGGAGGACGGGAAGAGAAAGGGTCGAAAGGCACGTTTCACATTGAAGTGCAGTAAACGGCCGGAGGCAATGCTGTCAGGGAAGCCGCGGGGCTGCCTGCGACAAGGCGTGATTGTAGCACGTTCAGGGTCCACGGTCAGGGCAGCGAAGTGACCGCGCGTCGCGAGTTACGGGAGGACAGAGAGCATGTGAACAGTGGTGCAGGATATGGAGCAGAAGCAAAGCCCGGGTTGCTGTGGTAACAGACTTGACACAGGGCAGGTTGCAGGGAGCTGTCTGAGTTATTATTAGGGACATTACGTGAATGTGAGCTGGGCATGCGCACCACTCCACCATGAGCATCGCCACTGATTTCAGGGATGGACTCTCCTCCGCAGTGTCAGATCACCTTCTCTTTTTTCAGGCAGGCCTTTGTCAATGTGAAAAAAAAATCTGCATTAAAAACTACTAGTCATGTGGCTCCAACTTTCATCCTCTAGGGCATCTAAGCACACAGAACATTAGTCAAATGCCTATCATTGGCAGGAGCACTACTGAATCTGAGCTTGCCATCTCTATTTGCTTCTAAAAGCATACCCGTGCCCCTTCCTCAGCAGCACATACCCCCTTTCCTGTGCTCCCTGAAATTTAGCCACCAAGGAAGTATAAAATATACCCAGTTATGGAGGATCATCTGACAGCGCTGGGCCAATCATCAGTGCTGTCACATATTCCTCTAAACCCCTTGTATGGGTGGGAAGAGCCCTCAGCCCTGTGTAAGCAAATCAGAGTTTACACAGCGAAGGGAATGTATGTGCTGCTGAAGAGGACAGGTTGACATTAAGCCAGCCACTTACTGGTCCAGTCATTCCTTTACAAAAGTCCTCCGTTCACTAGATACCCCCACTGTACTTCTCATGGGCTACAAAGCGTAAGGCCTGGATTACCTCTTCATGTGAAATGGAAGAACTATAGGGAATATCAACTAGAAGGACTTCCAACCAGTATATGTTCACAGGCTGCAGGAGTCATCACATACAATGGCCGGTAATCGATCATATTGAATGATCACGTCTCTGTGCGTTTGGCTGCCGTAACTAGAAACAATGTCCCTACTATACTTCAACACTGAATATGGCTGATAGGGTATGCTGGGACAATGTAGTTCAACCGAAGGCAAGTAATTCCAAGCCTAATGGATTCTGATATTATACTATGGTTATGTTGGGAATGTAACACACAGAATCACATTGGATGGAAGGGGAAGGCAGTCATAATGTGGAGGCAACAGCACAGCTGCCATTGCTGGGTGGTGGTCTCTTCTACGCATGCATGTGCAAAATCTCTATTTATTGCTGTGCAAAGACCGTCCACCATTGTGATACATAATAGACGCAGTGTGACTGTCTTTCCATAGGACTAAATGGGGGAATGCATAGGAAGGAGACGTCCAGCCAGACCTGGCAGGAGTGAAGGCAGGGAGTAGAAGATTATGGTGGGGTGGTCAGTTTAAGAATAACTGTACTAACCGTGATGATGAGTTTGTCCACGCAGTCCGGGGCCACACTGTGCAGGTGAGTGAGGTGCAGCTGTAGGTGGATCTTGTTGTTTAACATGTCCTGACAAAGAGGGCAGCGCAGCATTGGCTGCACAGAGTGCTGCGTCATAGCGTGGACCCGCAGTCTATTGATGTCTGCATTGGTGTACTTGCAGTATGGGCACTGGAAGAGCTGGAGAGACAGGAGAACATTGAAGGGAAAGCATGAGAGCAGGAAGTAGAGAATGAACGAGGTACACAACATACGGAAGATGATGATGAGTGACAACAGGTATAAAAAAAAAAGGTAAGAAGTAGAACAGAGGCTGCTACCTGCTCCCTCTTCTCCTCGGTGGATCTTGGTCTCTTAGGGGGAGGCTCACCGCTGGCATTGGAGGACAGCTTGGCAGGTAGTGAATCAGGTGGATCCCGCTCAGGCGGAACAGAAGGCACTGTGACAAAAATAACAATGAACAATAAGAGTTTTGCAACACAATCAACACTTCCAGATTCTGCTTTCATCCCGTCCTCTGTCTGATAGAACCCAAATTTAAGACTACTAAAACTAGACCATATCAACTATACACTTCAGGCAGATATAAAAAAAGACACATCAATGCAGCTTCATATTCATTACTAATTTTTGTTTTATGTACCCGAATCTAAATTTGTATTAGCACCTTGCAGTACCTGTACAGCAGAGCTTAGACTGGGAAAGGAAGCAGCATAAAAGGTGACAGTTGTGCTGCAGTGCTCATAAGGGACATGGAGGAGAGGGCAGAGAACTGAGTTCATCATTCTGTTTTATCTCTTCACTGGCCAGTCACAGAGAGATGCCGGGGAGGAGACCTGTAAATGTTACTTTAATGCAATAAAGAACAAAAATCAGGTCTCCTGCCTTACCAGACAGGGCTGTTCTCGGTGACAGGGCTGTACAAAACTCAAGACTGTGTGGACAGAAATACAAATCCTTTGGCAGGTATAGTATTTCACTTGTGTATTTTTACAGTTTACCCGGAGTTCAGAAAATGCTGCAGCAGCAGCGTGTGTGTGTGTGTGTGTGTGTGTGTGTGTGTGTGTGCCCGTGCCTTTGTGACTTCTTTATAACATTTTGTTTCCCAAAAATCATCAGCCAGTCCAAACATCTTCCCCTCCCCTTCAGCAGAGATCACAAAAACCAAAGTAGAGAGCTTGAGGAATGTTCCAGAACTGAAGAGAGCCTGCAGCTCCATTTACTCCAGCCATGGTAAGTAAAGCAGCCCCTGATGACACTCTATTGATTATCGCTGCAAGACTTCACTTTTTTTGCTTTAACAATATTTGTTTCTTTTTAAACAAATGATAACGATCAATTAAATAACTGATGTTTACTTATGCCTTAAAAACCAAACCCTGCCCCCGTGTATTGTCTCTTATTAAACATTTACGTGGGGGCAGCCATATTGGCTCATTACATTTTCTAGCTCTTCTTCCTGCTTAGATGTACAGCACTCTGCTGTCCCTTTAAAACAGATGATGGTGATACTGGCTGGCCATATGGTACTGTACCTGTTCCCCTATTAGTGTCTTTTGCCCCCTCCGGCTCCTGGTCTTTCGGCACCTCGGCTGGGTCAGCATCTGCATCACAGGCTCCTTCCGGATCCTCTGCCGGTTCTTCTGAAATAATAAATACATGCGATTGAGCAGCCGCTTGGGGAAGGGAGGCTTGTATATTAGGGCACAAAACAGTATCCGATGGAAGCAAAAACACATGATAAGTTCTGTCTTAGAACAAAGTACAAGCGTCAAGAACATGCAGGCCAGTGGTCAGCTTTGATCAAGGTAGTCTGAACAATACGGGATGAATCCTGATTGGTAAGGAAAGGGTTACATCTCTGCAATACATGTGCATATCCCTTTAAAGACGCTGCAAGTACAGAAAAAGAACTGCCGATGTGCCAGAAATACAGTGCGATCCCAACTTCCTCTTTGACATGACAACGCTCGGAGGGCAATTTATCAAAACTAGAGCAGACAGAAGCTGATTGGTTACTATGGGCAACTGCTCCAGTTTCTATCTTTCATTCTCAAAGCTTAACTGCACAAACTGAAGAGAGAAGCTGATTGGTTACTAAAAGGGGAGCTTCTCCAGATTCTGTCTGCTCCAGTTTTGATAAATTCCCGCCAGTGTATTCTCGGCTCCGAATTCCTAAAGACGTGTTGTCAGCCCCACCTACGTCATTTCTGATACATTACAAAGAACACAGACCTCTTCTCTCCCCTCCTCGTCACCATCACCCCATCCTGTGCACAGGCAGAGAGCACAGGAAGTTCACAGCCCCAAAAATTTCTGGCAAAAACAAACAGGTAATTTTTTTATTATTACTGGGTCTCTATGCTTCAATATGCAATGCAGGTGGGAGGAGTGTGCAGTACATAGCTTCCTGAAAACAAGAAGCTGTGGTAATGCCCCCATGACTGAAATACCTGAAATCCAATGGATTAGAGGGGAACAAGCTAGATAATGCTGGATGTCCTCCAGTCAGGAAATGGTGCGGGCTCTGACTTGCTGCAGCTTCTAATGCACATTGTGAAAAGCTTGCAGTGATATCAGAGGAAGCCAAATTTGTCCCCAGAGTTCTTCAACGAGCCATGCAGCAGAGAACTAGAAGTGTGAAACAGTGCGTGTTCCTAGTTCTTACACCCGCTGTCAATCACTCATTGGCTATTGTCAAGTTGATGCTGGCAATAAATGATGATGCTGCTGAACTTGGGTCGGGGCATATAAGCTTCTGGTCATGAAAGGGTTAAAGATGGCGCAGCAAACCCTCGGTGTCATACTGGAGGCATGACGGCGACAGAATGGATCACGGCTTGTCATATAATGACAAATATATTCATCTCCCCCGACTCGCCAACGAATATACAGAGCAGCTCACATATGACACTTCCATAAAGCGGCACCCCGTACTGGAAGGCAGTTCTGAATACGCATTGTTCCTAACAAGGACCGTCGTGTCGGGGAAAGGAAAAAAGGAGATTCATGGCAGAAGTAAAAAGACAGGAAGGATAGTCGGCTTTCTTTTCATGCTCTTTCCAGGAGAACATAGCGCAGCTCCAAATTAGCAGGGGGGGGCTCTCTTTATTGTGCCGAGCATTGATTGCTCTGGCGGCCCGAGCTGCAGTACCACTTGTGACCTAGAGGTGTCATCCTTAGCAAAGGGAGGCCGAGCACAGAAGACGGATAGGAACTGAGGACTGGGCAGAGGCTAAATGACTTCCTAGTTCAGAGTATGTGATGAAGAGGAAGCTACACAATTCATCCCGCTATAAAATAGATTTACGGAGAGATCCTCCAGTTCCTCCGAGCATTCCCGCTGCTATGTATTATAAAACAGGGAAAAAATGGCTTGTTTTCTGACAATTATGAGGCCTTGCAGCGCTGACATCTTTGCTGCAATTCCCAGCAAGGAGATCTTTTTTCCCCCCTCTGCTTGCACTTGTATGACCTGTATACAAAACTGGAGCAGCCAGAACAAGGACTGTGTGTGTGTGTGTGTGTATGTATGTATGTATGTATGTATGTATGTATGTATTACATTGTATATCACATCAAAACTGAGTAAGTCAGCGGTAGAAGCAACATTTAACATCTTGGGGCTACACAGGGTCCCCTTCATTTGGCAGACAGTGTATATTAATACTAGGGACAATAATACTTTGTTTTTAGATGCCATGCTTGTCGTTTTGTTTGACACTCCAAATTGCAAACATGATTTTACATTTTTTTTTGCATGTTTAAAAGATAGGACTTACAAAAATAAAACAAGAGTGGTACCTCGCAGTCGCCATTCACACCTGAAGCGCTGCGGCTGCCGTGCGACAAAGGGAATCTCATTATTTCCTATGAGGCCCATTCACACCAGTGCGTTGTGCTGCAGCGTGACTTTCAAAAACGTGCTTCACGATACGTTTTTAGCCCCATAGACATTAAAAGGGAGCACATGCAAAATGCCTGCAACGTGAATTTTCATGCACCTTGGCACGCAACAACAAGCCGCCGCCCCCTAGCAACATACACTTCACTATTTATTGGTGAAGTATAAAACAAATGCATGAAATATGCAACAAAGAACACATGAAGATGCACAAGTGTGCACGAGAGTAACGGTAATGCAGAATGTTATACTTGTACTTCTCTCACCCCCTTTTTTTTTTTTTTACAAAAACACGCGATGAGGTCACGTGAAAAGAACCCAGAAAATTACCAGCATTGAGACTGAATCGATCTTTATTTAACAAGCAAATAGAAAATCCATAGAAAAAGAAATGCGGTAAAAACCGCGTCCATCAACTGAACGCTCTAAGAAACAAATTTAGGAAGTGACTGTGGAGACCAGAAGGATTCCAGATTGCCCTACTTGTTTTGCGGGCGAGCCTCGGTGCCGTGCGCGGCTTGTTGTAAGCGGCGGCAGAGGCAAATTTTGTGTGGCAGTTCCTAGCAGAGCGTGAAGCTATTATGTCCTGTCATGGTGAGAATGAATCTCTCGCTCCCTCAAACATATCTACAAGCCATCCACATAATAACACGGGTACAGCAAATCAATACGTGTATGCCATCATATGTGTCAATAGGACCTGGAAAAATAGCATTCGCTCTGGCTGCTGTCAAACCGGCGTAAAAACACACCAGCGACGCATGGGCCGCCTGGACAAACACTGCTTGGCTTTTAACATGCGACGCCCACGGACTTTCCATTCTCCAATCTCGATGCAAGTTTATATAAAAATGTCCATTTAAAACCCCTATGGGATAGTACGCCTCCCGATGAAAAAGAACATAAATATTAGGATTCGCAGAGGAGCGCGACGACTGTGTAAACGCATGAGGCTGCACGCTGCGTGTTTATAAAAGGTCGTGGATCTCCGAGGTGGTATCCTCAATCTAATCCGGCAGATGCATTCTACCGTCTGCTACAACAAAACTTACTGTACAATCTACCAAAACTCTAACACGAGGACACATCTGCACAATACATTCAATCTGTATCCAATCAGGCCGGCCCTTGCACTACATAGAATGGAGATTGTGCAGTATAGAGTCAGCTTTGGCCTTGCCAACAGTTATGCAATTTGAAGGTCTATATGTCTGCATCGGTTAGGACGCTCCTTGCGTGTCTACACACACATTACAAGCTGAGCAACTTCAAGCTCATAGACCGGTAGATTGGCCCTTGTTGGTAAATCTACAGTCAGATGGTAACGTGTTGCACAGGAATTGCACAGCTTGTACTATGTGTGGTCAATGTAATTAAACAAATTTCAGATTGTCGCTCTAAAAATGGTTTTTTGTACATTATATGTGTGTGCTAAAGTTACATGAAACCACACTGTGCCTTGTCCTTCACCCGCAGAGTTGAAGCAATTTAGATATGGGTGAGATTCAGGCAAAGGTGGGGTAACCTGTGGCAGTGCACGTCCATGTCTCTGCATGCGCTAGTCCCTTGCTATAGTCCCCGCACGTCCATGTCTCTGCATGCGCTAGTCCCTTGCTATAGTCCCCGCACGTCCATGTCTCTGCATGCGCTAGTCCCTTGCTATAGTCCCCGTGCTGTATGTGGCCGCCCCACATTCCTCTCCACGTTTGCTGGTAGAGGAATCCTAGAGACTCATACCCACACACAGCAGACTACAAGAGGTTTGGCTTTCTTGAGTTGTCTCTGGCCTTCAATCAATCTGCCACACATATGGTGCATTCAGTACGGTGTATAATCCATATGCAAATTGCCTTCCGCATTGATCCGGTATTAATTTTCAATTAGGGAGCTCACAAGGGGTCTGACCAGGTCAATAAGAGAAGCAGCAGACAAGTTGAGAACTAGCAAGATTCCTGGGGACTTGGCTCTGGCCATGGCAGACAGAGCTCCTACCTCACCGCAAATCCCAGGGCCGGGCCCTCCAGTAGCACCTGCTGCCGTCTATCACGACACCCGTCTACCGCCAACACGTGGCAGCCACCCGCCACCTTCTCTACTGGACTGGCAGGACACAGGACCTTCCCAAGAGCCAAAACTGACAACGATGCAATACTGGGAGTGTAGAAAAACTAGACTCTGTACTTCAAGAGCTGCGGAAGAACATGTTTCTGCCTAAAGAGAACTGGATCCTCAGGAGCAAATTCAGGGAACAAGTGAAGTCATGCTATCCAGCGAACACTGCAATAATGCAACATTTTAAAAACAAAACACTACTTCCACCGCGCCAAGCTTGCTCCCGTGATGGACTACAATCTTAACACAAACTAGTTGTCAATCACTGGAGCCTTTTTTTTAATCCGATTAATCGAACTTAATAATCGGCCAACTAATCGATTATGAAAATAATAGTTAGCTGCAGCTCTACACACAGGGCACAAAACCCTGTTCAGAGCTTCATCTTTTTATCCAGGACTGCTGTGCTGCACCAGTCCAACCCACTTCCTTATGTCTGTGACCTGGGAATCCCTTTAGGCTATTTTTTGTATGATGGCCAAAATGTTCAAATTTCAAATCAGCACAGTGGTGTAGTGATTAGCGCTTCTGCCTGGTACCGGGGTCTTTGGTTCGAATCCCAGCTGGATCACTATCTGCATGGAGTTTGCATGTTCTCCCTGTGCTTCTGTGGGTTTCCTCCCACAC